GATCAACTCTCACCTAGGGTGTACTCCTAAAATCTAGAAAGTCTATACTGAAAAATAGGTAGATGGGCTCTCACCTAAGGTGTGCTCCTAAAATCTAGGAAGCATACACTGAGAATTAGGTAGATGAGCTCTCACCTAGGGTGTGCTCATAAAATCTAGGAGGCCTATACTGAGAATTAGGTAGATGGACTCTCACCTAGGACGTGCCCCTAAAATCTAGGAAGCCTACACTTTAACTTGTGCTTAAAGTAATTTAAAGTATTCTACCCTCAATTAAGTGTTTTCCAACTAATCCATAAATATTTCTAATTGTCTTCCAAGTAATTAAATCCGAGCGGGAGAAAGAATTGTGTAATTAAATCTAATTTTTTTCCAACATACCTGCAACTGTGTAAAGAGATTTTAGCTACAACAGTGAAGAATTCGAAGAGAGACCAACCTCAAGCGACGAAGAGGGACAACAAAGCGTTGTAGAGTCAGCGAAGCACTTCCTTGATGGTTTCAGATAGTGGAGGAGCTGAAACAGGTGAAATATGGGAGTTTCGAAGGCCTTGCACGCTGCGATCCCATGGTTGCTTTCCCAGCTAACTTTAATTGCGAGTGTGTCGCTGGGTTTTGATCGAGGGGTGAAGCCGAGCCGGAAAAGCAAAGCCGAGCGGGAGAAAGGCTCTTCGTGAGAGAAAGGAGTCGAAGCAGGCGTGCAGGATCGGCGCATAGAGTAGGCGAGTGGGTGAAAGCTTCAATGCAGGGGAGGGACGCAGTGTCGAGCGGGCTCGGTGCTGAGAAGGAGCTGGAGTTGAGCTGGGGAGGAGTCGAATTTGGATCGTAGAGGGGGAACGAGATCGAGCGGAGGTGGAGTGGGAGCCTCTGTCGAGCGGGGAAGGTCCGAAAGCAGGGTCTGGTTTCAGTGCGAGAGGAAGATACTTACCGAAAGAGGAGAGGCGCAATGGAGGCGAGTGTTTCAGTGCATGGAGGAGATGAGCGCGTGTGGGAGAGAGCGGCGAGGTCGAATGAGGAACTTCTGTGCCGAGAAGGGAAGGAGCGGGCGAATGGCGAGACAAGTTATTCCCGGTAGGCGTCCAATGCCGGGGAGGAGCGGGGCGAATTCTATAACCACACATTCAAATTGTCCGTTACAGGACATTAGGCGGGCTATTGAATGCTTTCCATCTGTGCAGTAATTTTATTAGGTAAATGATAAATTTCAATTAACCCCTATTGAAGTAGAATTAGGCACTTAATTTTAAAATATGAATTTTTGAAATTTGAAATTATTTAGCCTGTGTTTAGCTCGTATCCAGCCCAATTTGAACCCGAGTTGAATCTGGGTTGAGCCCGGGCCCCCGCACCGCTAATTAAAAAGAATGTGCATCGATTTTCGTGTCATTTGTACGCGTGTGTATTTCTAGAAATATAGGTGTCCTTTCCGGGTAAAGTTAATGTTCCAGATGCATTGGCGCGATCCGTTTCGTCATCCGGAGTCCTCTAGACAAGTTCACTGACGGTCGTGTCAAAAATGTGTCAACTTTGTACGTGTTGTAGTGAGTGCGTGAAGTGCAGCGTTTGCGAGTGTTCGAGTCATGGGGGGTTCACCTAAGGCCTTCTGATTCTGTAGGAACTCATTTTCGGGCTCTCTACATGTTGATCCTTAGCTCTTGTAACTAGAAGTTGAGTGCTTGGAATCACTCATGCGAGTTCTTCACAAAAATGAGTCAAGAAGTGGTTTGAAGTTCTACGGGGGGTGGGTTCCATTACTAGTCTGCTAAGATGGTCAACCAGGAACTCCTAAGGCTAGATTTTGGGTTCGAGGAGTAGAAAACTAAAACATCACTGAAAATGAGGTCAACACATCCTACTATAATAGAAGATACCTTATAGACTTGCTTTGGTGGTAACTACATATTCTAGGCTACTTGTAACTCTAGCACAATATTATTGTAAAACATTTTGATGTTCAAATCAGTTATAGATGGTGAAATGACTTAATGTCTAAAGCCATTTTAAGATGACTTTATTATAAAGAATCACCCCCTACTTATTTTAATGTTGCACAGGTCAATAAAACATCATTATCAATCACTAAAGGATGTATAATTCTTGTTCCGTTTAGGTAGTTTGTCTAATATAATTTGGCTTGACGTATTATCTGTAGATATTGCTGGTACTTTTTTAGGTCAGCCATGACTACATGATATAAATGTTCTGTTATAGAAAATTCAATCAGGGTATTCACATTCCATTGAAACCATTTATGTCTACTAAGCAATAAAATTAGAATTGGACTTGGAGATTATTGAACAACGATAATTAAGACACCTTAATGATTCCTTGAATAACATGTCATGTCTATTGTCTTTGAAATACACGTTGCACCTTTATGCTGGTCACGAACCAAATCTTCAATATATATATTTGAAATAGACCTACTCCTATATATTTAAATGTTCAAAATAATTTATTTTAATAATATCCACATTTTCAGCTAATGAGGCATCATTTGAGTTTCTTACGCAGTTTGTTGACACTTCATTTTGGCAGCCAGGAATTGCTTTATTAGATTTTATGAGTTTCTCCAGGGGATTTTTGTGGGTCTATAATGTTAAGATGACTATAAATTGCCAATCAACGTAGATCAATTAGGGATGTGTGGATTTTCACGGTTTAGCAGTTTTTTCCATCTTATAGGTTTTAGCACCATTATAGCCCCATTGATTCATGTATTTAAACAAGCTAAGTTTTAATGGCGTAATTTGATGTGAAGCTTTAGACGATATGAATAAATTAATGATAGCCATAGTTTTAGATTGCCTATATTTTTTAACTATCTTGTGATGCATAAGGCATTTGTATTGGAGGTGTTTTAAGACATTGACATCATACAATTTAGTGAAAAATTAATTGCTGTAAGACAAAATAATAACCTATCATTGTGACATCTATGCTTTAGTTCAGAGATTTAACTGACATTTTCTTTTACCAGTAAAGTTTGTGTTCAAATTTGAGAATGCTTTAAGATTTATGCCATCCCAATGAAATTGAATTCTAGATATGTTGAGTTGGTTGCATTTTTCAAGAGTTGGCTTCTTTATCATCAATCAAGTGTTGATAATACCGTAGTTAATGCCTTGAGTTACATTCATTGATTATTTATTCTTATTTTTGTCATGGTACTTGGATTTGATTGAGTAAAAAGTATGTTTTTTCTCCCCGATTTTCAGTCTATATGTTATTTTGTTAAAGACTGCCTAACTTTATATCTAAAATTTGAGTCATTGTTGGATACATTTTTAAGGGTTCTTTGTTGCGTGTTCCCTAGACTTCACTTCAAGATTTATGTTGATAGGAATGATATGGTGGAATAGTTGGTCATTTTGGATAAGATAAGACTATCATATTAGTTTTATAATGTTTTTGTTGAGCTTCCTTTCAAAATGATGTCGAGTGACTTATTTTTCAACATCACCTTAGAAAACTTACCAGACAACTCTATCACCTTTTTGAAATGCTTCTTGGAATGATTTGTGCATGGATTTAGTTTTAATAAAATTGAGTACTTCACATATACTTGATTCTGTTTTTATTATTGTTGATTATTTTGTTAAGATGATACACTTCATGGATTTAGTTTTAATAATATATAATACTTCACATATACTTGATTCTATTTTTATTATGGTTGACTAATTCTTTCAGATGACGCTTCATTGTTTGCTCTAGGACTATCATCAATTCTACATTGCTAGGTTATTTTTAAAAGAGATTGTTAAATTACTTGGATTTCCTTAGTTTTTATTATTTATGATTGTAATGTATGTTTTATTGGGCATTTTGGGAGAAATTTATGGTTGATGTTTGGTATTGTTTTGAAGTTTTCTTTCGCCTTTTTTCCATAAATTAATGGCCAAGCTGAAGTATTAATATAAGCATAGGAAATTTATTTTTATGTTTGGCTGGCGATTGATTCGTGTGGAAATCTGAGAAGATTTAGTTCTTTCCATATATAATTCTCATGTGGGCCGACCAGCTCAAAATCTTAGAAGATTTGTTTGGGATATCTTAGGAAACTTTTGATTTAGTTTACTCTCTTCCTATTTTATGTTTTTCTATTTTTTTAGAATTATTTTCTTTTCTAATTTAGGTGAGATATATTTGTTAAGTTTCTAAATAAGGAGGGATTGATTTCTCTATATATATGTACCATTTTTCAGCTGATAATGCTTCATCTAGTTGACATATGCTGCATTTATTACTCTTTGGAGGCTAGTTATCTGTGCCCCATGAAAATTGATACAGCACTAGAGCCTAAATCAATAAGTGCTGCTTGGCCCAAATGTATAGATTGAACCGAATCATTTCATGATATTTAAATGAATCTCGTCTTTTAGGCTTATTTTAAGATATTGGATCCATCGTCTTTAATAAAGTTGAATCATCCTATGGATAATCATAACAGATGAGAATTTGAGTCAATTTAGATATGGTTAGTTTCTTCTAAGTTTTAATATATTTCTATTTCTATAATTAGTATACCAAGGTATGTTATTGATTATCATTAAATGAAATCTGAAGTGATTCCCTAAATCTTTCAATTCTCTCCTCTATTCTCAAAATTCATTTGGCTTCTTTTCTGTCTCTCTTACTCCGGCCAATAATCAAATCTGGCCAAGGATGAGTTCGTAAAATTAGCAGCAAGTGGAAGGAAGAAAGACTTATAAGGTGAGCACATAAGATTAAATATGGAAGGATCGGTGAAAGGAAGAGAGAAGATCGAATGAACCAGGCTTTAAATTTGTCAAAGATGAAATAATTGCTAAAATAAATTACCAATGCTTATTAGCATCAATATTCAAATGGAATATTCATAAATTTCAGTAAATGGTCAAGTATAATGTGGGTGATTACGAGAATGTCTTTGATAAAAAAAAATGCACATTCTATCTTCTACAGTTCTACTACTACATATACGCCATTTAACATTCTTCTAAACAAAAAAATTGCAGATGGTGTTTCCGATCTTTCTGTTACTGGAAGTTCTTCTAATAATAAGTTCGCAGCTCAAACAACCCAACAGGAAAACATACTCCCTCTTCCACCAGTGGCATCAATTGTTCCACCAAAATCAGCATTTTCCTTAAACTCAAATCCTTCCATTTTTGATTCTGTGGATGTCTTGAAAACTGATGGAACCCCTAAACCTCTTACCATTGAACCAAAACTTGTCCTGCCCAAAAATGATGGTTTCCAGAGCCTTGACACAATTGTTCGCTTCAAAGAGGCAGAGGCAAAGCTTTTCCAAAGACTAGCTGATGAAGCTCGAAAGGAAATGGAAAACTACCGGCAGATAGTTTGCACCAAGTCCGAAAAACTGGAAGAGGAATATGCCATCAAGCTTGCAAAACTCTGCCTACAGGAAACTGAGGAACGGCATAGGAAGAAGCTTGAGGAGCTCAAGTTCATTGAGAACTCACACTGTGATTACCAGAAAATGAAGATAAGAATGCAATCAGAGATAGCTAGCTTGCTTGAAAGAATGGAGGCAACAAGGAAGCAATGGGTATGAACTTTCTTTTTTATTTGTTCTTGAGAAAATACTTAGCTGGACAATTGCTACTTATGATTTCTAAGCTTAAAAAGCTATATTCTGAAACCCTTGCTGTGTGCATTTAAGTTGTCCTATGAGTTTTAAACAATCCTACAAGCTAACCGTTATTGTTCTTATGGAAGCAGGTAGTTTACCAAGTTTGTCAATTGTCTGCATTGATAGTTGTGATGGATAATTACATCCTGCATTCCTTGAAAGCAACCGTCTCAACCCAACTAGTGGGATTTTTCTTGTGTGTCTTCTTTTGTATGATGTATCCAATGATAAAACATATGGGACACGTTAAATTCCTTTTTAGGATAATATGATTTGACTTAAAATAACTGTCTGAGAACTGATGTCATCGGCAGCACACTCCTCTTACCACCAAGTGGAGGTTAATTTTTGTTTTTTATAACTGGGATGGGATGATATGATTATGTATGAGTGTATGTGTACATACATGTACATGTACATTATACAAATGTTGTTATGCGCTTTCACATGCTTGTTATGTGCCTTGAAAAACATTTCATGTGCCAATCTTGCAATGTTGGAGATTTTGGGTCTGTTTGGGGCGGTTGGGGTTGTAAAAAAATAACTGTAGAAGAAAAGTGGATTTTCTTATAACTTAGCATTATATTTCTTTTTTTTTCAAAAAAAGTTAAGTCATTGATTTTCCTTTAAAATTGACCACATTAGCCTATTATAAAAGTTATTTTCATCATATAAGTTTCTCAAAGTTAGCAAGAAAACCATAATCAAATAGAATTATAGAAGTTTTTTTTCTTTTCGTTTTGGAGATTAAAGCTATGAAAAAGTTAACTCAACCGACTGTCAGTGTAATGGGTTATTTTTCTTCTGTTTTACGTAAAATAAAATTGTTGTTATTGTTGGAGATGGTTAAGTTGTTTAATTTATTGCCTATTTCTGAAGTTATAAGGGTGTAAATGCAGTATAATATTTTGTTTCTTGTTTTTGTTTTCTCATATAGATTAAAATTGCCATAGTTTGAAAACAAAAACAACCTAAAAACATTATAGCTGGGTGGTCTTTGAGATTAGTTTCAACAGTGATTGTTTGTATGCTATTTTGTTTGACTAAATTAAAATCATTCCTTGAACCAGCTTTCTCTCTCAAGTTACCTAAGACCAGGAAAACTTGTCTGCTTTACTTCTCATGCGCAGGAAAAGAGATTATGGACAAATTTATCTGACGCAATATTTATATATTTTGCCTTTTTTCACTCTTTTGTGCTGGTTTAAATATTGAGGGACCTGAATGCATCAAATTTCCGCACATATTTGGCAAATGCGCTAATAGATAATTTTAACTTTGAAGATAAGTTCTATAGATCGTTCTGTTGTGATAAAAATATCCAATATCATTTTGACTTTCATCTTACTTGTGTACAAGCAGTAATGGTGAAAATTCTGAATTTTTCAAGGAGGTTTATGAAAAAGTTGAATGACTAACCACATCTTGACATTCCTTGTGCTGTTTTATCTTCCTTCACTCTATATTTTTTATAGATATCGGAATACATTTAATGTAAGAAATTGTGTTGAATTGTAACATTTCGGAATATCCCCATTCCTGGGAAAATCTTGGTGGCATTTCCTTACTCCTTGACTTGGTGGCCTAGAACAAATCTCTTTGGTTAGATGTTTAATTTTTTTTTATTTCAATGTTCATTTTATTTTTCGTTATTATTCCCTTATTCATATATCCCTTGTGTGCTTTGTTGTTCTTTTTAATTTCCTAAACTTTCATACCTTATTTTCTTTAAGATTTGTGAAAAAAGCCATGCATTCTTTCACATCCATACATTAAAGTTTTCAAATCGTAATCCTAAACAAATCTTGCATCCTCTTATCAACATCAAGCTAACCACAAATAGTCTCCATACATCTTTATAACTGTCTTTTAAGCTCCACAAAATGAGCTGCCAAAATGACCAAAAATCTAATAGCACACATCCCTAAACCCTAAACCCTAAAAACCAAAACCCAAGATTAAGATTTTATAGAAAAGATTTTTACCTTATAGACCTAATCATGATTGTAACTAGATAAAACAGATTCAACAAAATTAGCTAACCGTAAATAGTCTCCATACATTCTTATAACCATATTATAAAATCCACAAAATTAGCCACCAAAATCAGCCTAAAATCTAATGGCACCTCTTATCCATTCTTGGGCTTCCATCATCTATAGCCCCATGACCTTCTTAACACCTCTACTAAATTCCCTTACATGTCCTAATATCAAATAAAATGATTTACCACAGTCATCCACTACTAAGCCCGCTAAACTATATCAATTACTTTGAAAAAGTAAAAAAAAAAAAAAGATTTTCTTCAAGTAAGGCAATAAGAAGGAAAAAGTTAGCAACATTAAATTAACAAGCAAGCTTAAGGGTCATTTTAACAACGCTTGAGTTTATATATATATATATATATTGTTCAAAATATATAGATAATTACCCTTGGACAAAAACATTTCAAGTGCATGATATGCTATCAACATAATCTTTCTAAAAAATCTAGATGTTTTTTAAAACTAACATGTGATTGTTGCGAGAAGTGCTAGTGTGGACAACCAGATGAGATTGATTTGATTTGGGGAGAAATTTAATTGAAGAAATGAAAGATGTGCGATCAAGTAGATCATTAGAGTTATATCTAATTTGGCTATAATGGAGAACTTAGGGCCAATCATTTAGGGTTCCCAATATCTAGTTAGGGATAATTTTTTTTTAAACTTTTCATTTTGAAACTTAATATAATTGATGCTCCTTGATGTTATCCAGGGTGCAAAAATAGATTCACCAATCTCCAAGAGGAAGCAGCAAATTACTACTGGGTACCCAAAATATGTAGCTAGGGATACTATTATTGATAGATTTTTTTTGGAAAAATATTGATACACTCTACTAATGCCATCGAAAAGCGAAAAAAACAAATTAATAATTTCTAAGAGAAAATACCAAAGGTGCTTCCTTTAAGAGTACATTTTGGAGAGGCTTATTGTAGTAAGAATTTTAACTGATTTAACTTGCTAGTTTGAATTTTGACAAAAGAAAATTCCTTATAATTATTTCATTTTGTTCAGCATCAATCTTAAGGTGTTTTTGTTGAAATTTCTTTTTATTTCATCTTTTTATTTTAATTATTCTTGTTTGGATATGAAAATCCCACGAAAAAATGTCTTTATTCAAGATTGTATTTTTTTAATGTATCAATAACTAGAAGAATTGCATAAGAGTTATATTTTATCAAATCTTCTGTTTTTTAATTTTTTTGGAAGTACGGAATACTATGAGAATGATTTTGACACTTTACGAAGATACTTTTAGCTTTTGTAGGATATATTCTTTAGAATAATTTTTTACTTATTTCTAATTAAAATGCACTTAGTAGTTGATGATATCACTTATTACCTTCTATAATTTCCACTATCATGAACCTCTTATTGCTTAGGTTGGGGGAATGGTTTTGGGAAGCTAGAACGTGCTACTTTTAATGGCTTTATTGATACAATAAAAACTTTTTTGTGCAATCTGTGATACCGTAATCAACACTAGTAATCTTTTATCGAATCTTGTTTCCTACACATTTTGATAAAAAATTTTTTGCTTCTTTTCATGAAAATTTTATAGTTTTGATATTGCTAAACAGAAACTAGTTTTACATTGGAATGACACATTTTATTACTATGAATTTGATTATTGATTTATTATGTGTTATGCAACACATTTGTGATTTGGTTTCATTAGAAGCTTCCTATCATACTTATTTTATTTCTAATAAAAAGTTCTATCTATTCCAATGCAAATACATCGAAAAGAGTTGTTTACATTCTATTAGTGTCAAATAATTTTGGAAATCAGCGCATTCGCTCAATATTTATGTGTTAAATAGTTATGTTATTTTTGGAGAAAGGTCAGCCCAAAGGGTAATATGTATATGATCCTACCTATGACCTCACGGTGGGAAACTACACTCTCAACCATTATGTCACGAGTAAATGCACATTTATCTTAGATATTGAGTCAATTTTTATGTTAGTTAACATCAGTTTTATTTTTATCTTTTTCAGGTTTAAATTAACTATTGCAATTTGTATATGTTTTTTGTCCATATCTATAAATAAAATAATGTTCTTAATGTGTTCTTCTTCTTTTCTTTTTTTGATTTTGCATTTTAACCATGGATATAGTAGGCGACTTAATACTCTTCTACATGCAATCTCTTTATTCAAGCAAGGCTTGTTGTTAAAAAAGGAAAAAAGCAAGGTTTGATGTTCCGTTTCTAATCTTTCCTCCTTAATGTAATGTATAGTTTCAGCCTATCAATCTTTGTAAGTCTAATTTTAATTATTTATTGCAATTTTTAGTTATATTTTGAGTGCTTTAAAAATACTTAAAATTTAATGTTTTTTAGATTTTTTTTTTATTTAATGACAAATATTCCTTTTTTTTTTCCCCCATAACTAAGCTCAAAAAGAAGTTTGTAGGATTGTTTGATTGATGTTGTTTGACATGCATGCCTAAAAATGTCACGTGTTATTCATCTGACATACTCTAGCAATGCTAACATACATTTTTTTGCCTATAAATTTAGCCTTAAGATTGCTTTTGGGCTGTGAATTAAGCACCTTTTATATCATTATTCTTTGATGTTATCCAAGCAGTTATGCTAGATATGACATGCTTGGAATAGTATTTAAATTGTCTTTAGAATATTTTGCATGTTTCAAATTTTAGTCATAAATATCTTCTCTACTAATGTAGGGGGTAATATTGTGCATAACATTTACTCCCCAAATTTATTTATTACTAGGAGTACACTTATATGTAATTTTAAATAAATTATGTTGGAATATTGTAACCAATCGAGCAACAACTACCCCATTTATATGAAACTATTAAATTTTAAGCAATTAGCAGTTTATTTTTAAATTCATTGTGCAAATGAATATGCTTTCTAGCTTGGGAGCTTACTAATTGTGACAATACTTTATAATTTATACATTATTAGTTTTTTCTACCACCAATAATGC